GAGGAGGAGAGAGAGAGAGAGAGAGAGAGAGGTGACAGCATGTGGAGAAAGAGAGTGTAGGTGATGGTACCAGAATAGGCATGTAGAGTGAGAGGTGATGACGGAAGAAAGACACAGACAGAGAGCGCTGAACAAGGGCACAGAGAGAGATGGATAGGGAGGGTTGGACCGTTGGTTACAAAATCAAGGGATTTGATGGTTCACAAAAAAGTAAAAGAAATGCTGTTACTGGGTTACTTGGTTGCCAGTTTCATATGACATTTAGAAACAGATGGAGATTGATGGGCAATAATTAGGTTCCTATGAAGCCCCAGTGGATGAGGAGCTCAATGATCATTTCACACGCAATTGAGTGCACTTATACACCAAGAAGGGACAACAAGTTTAGTGCCACAAAGGAATAAAGTACCTCTAAAAGAAAACGCAATCTTGGAAGTATTCCCATCCTGATCAGTCCTGCCACAACATCTTGTGCTGCTAAGGTTACATCATCTTGAATAGTGTGATCTTCATCATTACCATCATCTACATCATTATCTTTGAAGGGGAACATATTTGAAGGTTTTGCACTGTATTTCCAATATCCACCTTTGAGGAAACCAACATTGAACTCTGGTCGACTCCTAAACACAGGAGCAGTGTACATATCCTTAACAGAAGCTGTCAACAACTGCGAAGAAACATGGAGTCCCATGTGAAACTTAAACATCTGGACATAAAACAACATCAAACTCATAAACGACAACTAAACCCAAACACCGAGGCCAATGATCAAAACATATTAACCAGGCCAACTTTACATCTTATGAACAGTAAAAAACGTCATAAAAAAACCTACCTTTGTAAGATCGAAAAACTGCTCATTCATTTCATAACTGAGTACCCGCTGAATAACTCTTGCACAGGCCAAAACCACTGAAACATGATTATCATCCAATGCCATCCTGTTTGGAAAAAAAACTTTACATATAGTTGACTATAACAAACAAAATTTCTATACATCACCTCGTACTGATGGAAATTGTGGCAAAAACAAAAGCACATAAAAGAATAAAAGGAATGTTTTTCTATAGTTGAAAAAAAAAAAAAACCTTTTAATAACTACCCAAACACTATGTTTGCAGTTCAATTAGGAGCGCGTATCCATAAATTAAGTAGATCACCCTACATGATGTCAAGACTTCCAGACTTATCTCGTAAAGAGTAATATGTGTGTGACTCGTCACAAATCACATTCCAATATTCAGATAGATAATGTAATGCGAGAGTACTATGTCTCTTCATAGTAGACAATCATATCAGCCCAGAACACTAATATGCGAAGAATACATCCTATGCCCATCAGAACAACTGCGATTTAGAAACAAAATACATTCCTCAGTAGCAGAAAGATTATCTGTGCGCTTCATCTACATGGAAGTTTCTTTTCAAATTAAGGAAAAGGTGTGCAAACTATTATAACTCAGGAGATCTCATCACTCTTATCTGCCTGATTATAAACCAAGGCAACAAGTGAATCACGAATCAGAGAATCTCTATGTCAATGAATTATGTTAACAACCTCTATATTTAAAGAACAAAATTCTCTTCATAAATAACCAAGAGCTGTCATGGAAAATCCTTTCTTTTGGTAGTACACCTCATATGAAGAATCACCATTTAGAAATACTAATGAAAAACAACTGATTATAGGGAAATGATCATACTGACTTCTTAAAAATCATTCAATTCTATGGCAGCCCCTCCCTTATTCTTCCTATCATATGGCATTAGAACTTAGAAATATCTATCATCCCACCCCCTCTTCAAGTTCCTCCCCTCATTTGCTTATTTTTACCTCAATAAATGCTCTAAACAAAACATAAATTTCTTTGCAAATCCTCTCTCTCACCCCTCTTTTGTAACCCTATCTTTCCATATCTCTTTCGATAGACCTTCCCTATTTCTCCCTTCTCATGCCCACGTTGTGCTCTCTCTCTCTCTCCTCTCTCTCTCTCTCTCTCTCTCTCTCTCTCTCTCTCTCTACTCGTACTACGTACGTACGTACGTACGTAACGTAGTACGTAACGTAACGTAAGTACGGTAACGTAACGGTAAGTAAAGGTA